GTCAAATTAGTTTCCACATAACACCCAGTGCTCATCCCCACAAGTGTCCTCCTCCATGCCCCTCCCCCCTCCCCCCCCACATCCATCAGTCCTCAGTTTTTGTCAGCATTCAAGAGTCTCCCATGGTTTGCCTCTCTCCCTTTCCCCCACCATTTCCCCCCTTCTTCTCCCCCTTGTTCCTCAGTTAAGTTCCTCCTAATCCTCCTATACGTGCAAACATATGATATTTGTAGGAAAGGAGAAATTCTAATAGAAATAATTGCATATATTTTGGTAGCTACCAAAGTATTATGCACAGTAATTAAAGGATGACCATGAGGCATTTGGCAAATTTAATCAAAGTGAAAAACAAACTAATGAAAATAGCTCTACTGGGATACAAAACAAAACAAAACAAAACAAAAAACCCACCCACCATTCTTTCTGGCTCCTCTATAACACTGTAAAGTTCAGTAACTATTTTTACTTTGCCTGTATTTCTTGGTTTTTAATATCTTGCCTTTTCTAGTCTTTTTTATTCTATTTCTTAGAAGTCTCTTGGGAACTAGGGTATTTTTGTTTAACTTATTTTGTTTATCTTCTTCCTCAAATCCAGTGCTCTTTAATGCATATATTATGTTTTCAATAAAACCCAGTAATGAATAACTTTCTTTTTTAACGAACTGCTTTTAAGAGTAGGACCTAGGACAAGAAATGTAGTAGATACTTGCAAAGCTTCCACACCATCCACATAGAGGAAGCCAGAACCAGAGCTGCAGAAAAATTTGTAACTAATTATTGCCCTCAAGGTAAAAAAAAAAAAAAAAAGATGAAAGTTCCCAGGAAAATAAAAATGAAAGTAAACACCTAAGCTCATTACCTCATGCTTAGATAAGGCTCAGAAATGTTAGTATTTCCTTTGCTGGGTAGGAGAATATGTACATTGAAAAACAAAAAACTAGGGTCCTTCCTCCCTCCTTTTTTCTTTCTCTTCAGGAAAGTTTTACTGAGCTCCTGTTCCAGATATCAGGCATCCAGCGAGGAACATGCCATAGGCCCTGTCCTCAAGGATTTGACATTCTAGTGAATACAGGTAATTGGGTAATTAGACTATAGTTCGACAACTGCTATAATGGAGGTAATCTGGGGACACCCTGTAAATACAGAGGATAGAACTTAATGCAGACACGCAGATCACAGAAAACTTGCTGTGCGAGAGGTGATATCTAAGTTGGCCCTGAATGACAAATGGTTGAAGGTGGGGTGGCAGTGGTGGAAGTGAGCATTAATGGGTAGCTAGGCAAAGAAGCCTATTAGGGTTTAGATATGAAGGTTGAGAGATCTTTAAACATTGCTGTTTTGGTTTGCAGAGTCTTTTACCTGTAAGTGACTGAAAACTACCCCTCTGTAAAGTAAAACTGCTAAAGTGTAGAGTTAACATCATTGTTCTCCAGGCATGCATCCTTGACATAGAGCTCATCAGAAAGTATCAGTGATCTAAACTCTGCCTTCCCTAGCATGTCTCTTCATAACTCTGCTTGAACAGTGTCTTGAATTATTTGCTTATTCTTCACATGTAAACAATGAGAGAGATTTTGTCAGTTGTGGGGTAGAAGGCAAGACAGTCACTAAATGAATGCTGTGAAGCGTATCTCTTACTGTGTACAATTTAATATACAACAGGCAAGTATCCCATTTTGGAATATGACAGAATCCAGTTTCATTTTTGGCGATAATTCTCATGTAACATTATCTTACTCCACTACAAAAACAGAAGGAAATCTTTACTTTATATGTATTTTTAAAAATCTGCTTAAGGAAGACAACAGAACTTCAAAATTCTAAAACTTTGAGCTATGGTATGAGAGTACAGTGTTTTTATTCTTCTGATAATAATTATGAGTTAAAATATATTTATTATATTTACTAATGCTATCTTTGGTTAAAAATAAAGTGATTAAAATAGCATTCGCCTTGCTTCTCAAAGAACAAGTGGACTATTGAATGGAATAGGCTTTTAAAACTTGCTAACAAGAAATTATAACTTTTTAAAATATATTCTGTTTCAAAGATATTGTTTGTAGAGGTCCATTTTACACATTCAAAAAAATTCTTTCCTCTTTCTATGTAATGATTCTGCTGAAAATTTGCTACCATGCTTCCAGAAAAGAGCACAAAAGATTTCTGATTGAGCTTTGTTCACACTGAATGATGTGGGAGGCAACATGGACCAATAGATCTAAAGATGTGGATAAGCTGGAATGTGAGTTTTGAAGTTAGGAGATTTTAATTCAAGTCTCAGTTCTTCTATTACTAACTCTCTCTAGACAATGGGAATTGACTTATAACCATAGTCTTCTAAAATGTTCTAAGATCTGAGTTCCTAGAATTAGATTATAATCAAATAGTTCTTAGAACTAGATCAAATATACAATGATCTAGTATAATTATTATTAGTGGTACAAAAGTGATTTCCTAGTAAAATGTGGACAATGACTTTTATGAAACTGTCCTAGGAAATCTATGAGGTGAGTTAGACACTGGGATGAATGAGTCTATAGGGAAGAGGTTAGAGTAATTGAAACTGTAATTCAGTGAAAAATCATAGGTAATTCAATGATCCTATAAATTAATTTATTTACCAGATGATAGAGGGTCCCACTTGCAATGACTTTATTTTTAATATCCTACCGGAAGTGTCCCTCGTCCACCAAATGCCTTGGACGTAATATAATACAGAGAGTAAAATGATTATTTCATGTAGTTCTTTGCTATATTCTTCACCGCAACCAAAAGTATTTCCATTTGAAGGTTACAAGCTTATTTTCTTTCAGGAAAAAAAAGTGAACTTCTATTAGAATTATGCTTGGGGCACCTCAGTCGGTTAAGCGGCCCACTTCAGCTCAGGTCATGATCTCATAGCTTGTGGGTTCGAGCTCCGCGTCAGGCTCTGTGCTGACAGCTCAGAGCCTGGAGCCTGCTTCGAATTCTGTCTCTCTCTCTCTTTCTCTCTGCCCTTCCTCCCCCCTCAAAAATAAATAAACATTAAAAATTTTTTTAAAAAAGAGTGAATTATGCTTTGGGTTTTCTCAAATATTTCATAATGTTAACTGCTACATGGAACAAAAAGGCAAGTTAGTATGTCTATCAGTCCTACACAACATTAGTAAACCATTATGAAACTGTGTTTTTATCTTAAAATTATGAAGACATTCTTTCCATTTTTTATAATCTTTACGAACACAGAGGTATATGTAAGACATTTTGATTGCTGAAAAAAGTAACTAAGAGAATAGTGCAGATCATTCCATCGCAGTTGTAGAAAGACAACTGTGATCCGGTTCCTATTAAGTATGTACATAACACACTTCTAGAAAGGGAAGAGAAGGATGCCTATGAGGGTACTTTCCTCTAGCAAAGGGAGCAGACCTGTACACAGAGGCAGAGAATGGTGACTTACACATTTTGCTTTGAATGTTAATGTTTTATTTGAATCTTTGAAGCAAGTATATTTATGAATTATTTGTGTTACAAATAATTGAACTACAGTGGGGTCATTCACTCCTACCCCTAGTCCAGGTTGACAGGGGCTGGACTTCTGCCGTGGCTACAAATGCTGTCTTCTAATTGCACATTAATTGAAATACAAATACCCAGTAAGTGTTTTAAGAAGTATAACTCAACTCAATTATGTATGGAATGTATCACCCATGTTTCAGTAGAGGATACAACAGGCGTGCCTGGGTTGAAGCTCTCTGAAATGGCACGATGTGGTGTTTTGGGTGGTTACTCCTGATGGATTATGTGGTCAGGGCAGGCCTGATTTCTCTCACTGAGCTGCTCCACCGCACTAGAAATGATGCTTGGCGGTTTATGCCTTTTTCTTCTTCTTCTTCTTTTTTTAACTGTTTGACTTGTCTTTGAAAAACCCAAAAAACACGCGAACATTCGATTCAACTGTATATTTGCTAAGTCAAAGCCAGCGGTCTTTGGATCAGTAGGCTGATCCACTACCCCCTAATTACCTTACAACACCAAGCTGTGACAGACAGCCTGTCAGCAGATTTTATTTACAACCCTTGAGGAAAAACCCTCTTTCTGTTTCACTTCATACAAAAGATGACTTTGCAAAAGGAAACACTTGGCAGTATTTCAAATGCTCACTGTCTGGTGGTGTTGATAATGCAATTCTTCTTCTTAATTATGGCAGGTTCTATAATGCTGTATCATTCATGTAGACCATCAGGCCCCAGATGACTGCATTTATTGACTAAACAAATAATTCCTACAATCACCTGAACTGTTTAACCTTTTCTCTTCCTACAAGTTGAGCATTTGGCTGTGGACTGATTTTTATGCTGAATTTTATTGTTGAAAGGTATCATGTTCCACTTGGCATGCCTACAAAATGTCTTTCATTCAGATACCAGTCAGCTGACCTGAATGAAGAACACTAGTAATTGTAGGTAATTCACTAATCTTTGTTGTATGTTTTAAAAGGAAGGTCAAACTATCATGCAGACAATTAATGTGTAGACTTAAAGTGTTTTTTAAAAAATAGAGTCATATTCACATAATCCACAATAGTTTCCCAATAAATATTCTGTTTGTTAAGATCCAAAATATGTCCCAAATAAAAAATGTATCCAGTTAAAGCATACACTTTCTTTCTAGTAGTAGGGGAAAGTCGATGTGGCTTGGCATCTCTAAATTGTGTTCTTAAGCATGTGAATAGGATCCCAGAAATAATAAGGTTCTCAAGCCACTGAACTCTATCAAAATAGCTCAAAGCCACAGGTGAAAAGTCATTTGTGGAAAAATTTGTAAAAGAAATATACTGGCTATTGTTCGGACTAACTCCTATGGGAGAAGGAGTATCTTTCATAACATAGCTGATCAGTGTAACCAATATATGGTCTAAAATTACACACTTTGGAAACAGGCTATATCTATTACCTATTCACAGCTGGCATGAAAGAGATTGAGGAGGACACAAATAAAATAAAAATGCGTTTACTCACTGTGTTAAAATTTGGAAAGAGCCCCACAGCAGAACTACTGTCCACTGGAAAAGACATAAACGGTTTGATGTCCAGTGAAGGCTGCATCATCAGGGCAGGTGTGCGCACAAGAGCAGGAAGCGTAGTAGTGTGGCATGTACTGCCTGCCAAGAACAAAACAAAAAGAATTCAGTCTTCCTTGCTTACATCTCCCTCCCCAACCTACCGTGCAAAAACAAGACTGCTGATCTGCAAGCCCAGAACAAGAGTCATGCTGAAAGTAAGCAAATGGCACAGGAGGAGAATACAGTGAAAAGGGGTCTTCTTGCTCATTATGGAAGACAGTGATGCAGAATACTTCCCTATGACGGGGGCCACGGGCTGCTCAGAGATACAAACAACACAGATCCCACTGGCAGGTGGGGCACAATGAGCTCGGCCTGTGGTTCAATCATTGTCTGAGTAGCCAAAAACATAGGAGAGAAGGAGGGCATGAGCCTCTCGCAGCCAGATTCTCTTTACTAGTCAGTTATTGAATGGCTAGTAGGCATGCTATATGCAGATCAAATATAATTATAGGGTTTTTACAAGGGGGGAAAAAAAAAACCTCGGACTCATAGTCACTGCTCCCAAGAAAATTATGACTCAAACTATTTGTTTCTAAAAAAAAAACAACAACAACAACAACAACAAAGCAAAAGTTGCCCTTGCTGTGAGGGCAATAAGTAGTCTAGACATTGGATAGTTAGAGAATCTAAAAGGAGTGAGAACTGCCTGAGTGGGGCAGGGTATTGGGGGACAGGGAGAAGTTGGGACAGAAACTCAAGTATTTGTCTCCATCTTTTATTTCTAATGAGCTTTGTATTATGGTAGCAACTACCCCCTTTTTGCCCACAATTATACTAGCTGTCATCTCTTTAGGAATGTGGGCTAACCCATGTGTGGGAGATTCAAAGCAGTCCTCTCTGGTAACAAGCATTCTTCTTCTGAAGCCTCCGCATACTGTGGGTGAGTAGCTGCTGGTGCAGGTAGTCCTCTGAGACACAGGCTCTGGCATGCCTTCTTTTTTTTAATATAACTTTTTGAGATGTAATTCATTTACTGGACAACTCTCTCACTTACAGCGTACAATTCAGTGATTTTTTAGCATCTCTGCAGAGCTGTGCACATCACCACAATCAATTTTAGAACATTTTCACAATCCCTGAAAAAAACTCCATATCCATTAGCAGTCATTCCCCATTACCTCTCAACACCCCCAGCTCCTGGCAACCACTACTCTACTCTGTTTCTAGGTTTGTCTATTATGGACATTTCATTTAAATGAGGTCATACAATATGAGTTCTTTTGTGACAAGCTTCTTTCACATGGTACAATGTTTTCAAGGTTCATCCATGTTGTAGCATGTATGAAAATTTCATTCCTTTGTAAAGCTGAGTAATAGTCCATCGTAGATGTACTTACTTTTTCCTTATTCATTCATCGGTTGATGGGCCTTTGGGTTGTTTCTACTTTTTGGCTATTGTGAATAATGCTGCTCTGAACATCTGTCTATAAGTTTTTGTATGGAGATGTATTTTTAGTTCTCTTTGCTATATACCTAAGAGTGAAATTGGGGATTATTGGATCATATGGTAATCATATGGCTTAACCTTTTGAGAACTTTCAGACTGTTTTCCAAAATGTCTGAGCCATTTTATAGTGCCACAAGCAGTCTATGAGGGTTCCAATTTCTCCCAGCATGTATATATAGGACCACAAATAAACATATGCCAGAAATCTCCTACTGACTTCAAGGAGAAATAAACAGTATGGGAAAATGTTCCAACTATTAAAATTTCCACCAATGTTCTCACACAGTATTCCAGAATAATTAAAATTCCTATTTCAATGATATATTTTTTGATAATGGATTTCCTTAATAAACTCTGCATTATATTTCAAATCATTCCAGAATATTATTAGTAATAGTGTTTAATGGACTCATTTACATTGATCCTAAAGCAGGAAAAAAAGAGAAAGGCGTCTGAAGCATTTATCTGTAATGGTAAGTCTTTAGGTCAGCCTCATCCATTAGGGAATATAGAGTAGGACTCAGTGAAAATAGAAGCAACCAAAAGTATAGATCAAACAGTAATGTTTTTTTCAGATGCCAAAGGAAATACTCTGATCTCAGCCTAGCATTCACATGACCACCCTGTATTTAAGTACACTTTTTCTTCTAATTAGGTAATGTTATAGTCATTGCTAACATCAGAGCTCATAGATCCAAGATGATATATTATGTCAGTATTTCAAATGTTGCAGAAGCACTTATTAAAATATTTATGTTAAAAGCTTTGCTTTAAAATTGTAGCTAAATTGAAAAGAAAGATATTTCTTATTTTAGAACGATGGCCTTTTACAACTCACAATTATTATAATTGTTAAAAGCCTAAAGTCTGGAAAGTATGCAGAATTATTCTATTTCAAGCTGCCTGATAAACAGATAAATTATTTTGCAATCATGGGTCTCCCCCACCCACCAAGGAGCAAAGTTTTTTCCTTCAGCCCATAATGGTAACACTGTGATAACACCAGAAGTACACGGTATCCGAGGGCCTGGCAAAAGTCATTTCGTACTAACAAACTCAATTCAAATATAACACAACATGGAACTTGACAAACAGATTGCTCCATCAACAAAGGTCAGAATGCGCAATGATCCCCTTTACCCAATCAAATATCTATGGTAATAAGACAAGGCTTGAGAACTACTTAGCTGCCACCATTCATTAGCATAAAAACTTAGCAGCTGTTTACTATTCATTAGCATTTTAATGACAGACAATTTGCCATGTTAAACACAGATTGTTTTAAAGTACTGGTAGATCTCCTGAATAAATATAAACTGCTTCCATCAATTCCCCTCACCTCAACCTTGCTGTTTTTACTTTTAAGACCTGCTTTTTCAGATTGCCTCACCAAAACCTACCGCTTCAAAGAGTTTTTGCAAATGGGAAATGAATGGGGATAAAGCCCACTGTTTTGCACAGGTTGGGTCAGGTCTCTGTCACCTTATTCGGGATTTTGCTGCTGCCTTTTCTGCTCTTGGGAAGCATTTCTCCTCACCCTGGGATGCCCAGTTGGTAGGAGATACAAACAGAAATTTGGCCAAAATACATTGCATCCTACAAGAAAATGCTTAATTTCTCTAAAATTTGCTGAGAAAAAAAAAGGATTGAAAATATAATGAATGAGCATGTATTTCAGTATAAAAATCCTTCACATTGCTCTGCACAGGGGTCAGGTCAACCTCTGTCTTTTGTTTGATTTGGCAATATTGTCTAAGATACCTCCTATACGTCGTTTTATTTCAAAGCATAAGATATCATCTGTCATATATCATAATGAATCCAGTCATAATAGGGCTCTACCTTCTTTGACAATAAAGATTTTTATGTCACTTGCTGTAAATATATTGATCAGAGACCCCTGACCTAAATGAAACACACACACACATCAGCATGTATACCCCAACGATGTAACAGTCACTCCTCTCACCATGGAAATTCCACATGTTTATATACTTTCCAATATGAATGCAATTAAGCCTCTCCTCCAAATTTCATTTTCACTGTAAATTCCAAGTTGTGTTTATCTATAACTACGAAACCAATAATATGAGAAAGACAACTCACCACTATGATCATAAAACTATTATTTCAGCCAACTACCTCTGTAACAGAATAGGTGCTTTATTATGTCAATGGATTATACCGTAATTCATCACAATAGCACCTCATTTGAGAGTTAGGCAACATTTGAAATTACTGCCATAGTCTTTGACCTTTAGAAATATTATCTTGAAGTTTTAGGTGATAGCTTTGAGGGTTTCTAGTGGTTCTTCCCTATGCAGCACAACACAAGCAAACAAAACACCTCAGTGTTAGAAGGAGAAAATGCCAAAGTCACAGAAAAACTGTGTGGAGAAGCATGTACAGAATGAGAACAAATCTATATTCTATATCCTGCAGAAGTAGTTTCTTCTTATGCCATTATTATGTATGTCTGCTTTAGTGAGTACTAAAATAAAAAGCTTAACATATTCTAAAAGTCTATTAGGTGAAGGCAATGCCAATTACAGAATTCCCAGTGATGTATTTTTATTCCCCCAAAGACGTCTTTAAAGAAATTAAAATGAGTGGCGTTTCAGGAGTTCTACCAAACTCAGTTTTCTCTTTAATTGCTTTCCCAGCTTCACTGAGTAACCTTCCCTCTTACCAGAACAATCACCAACCAGCATCTCCTTTAGTCTCTGTCTTATCGTTTCCATTCTTTCATCAGTTTGCCATGTGAGGAAAACTAAGTTATCGAGAGATCTAGTGTAGTCACAAGGAGGTGGCTATGTGAGTAGGCTTTGTGACTGAAAAGGGTTTTGTTTCTGGAAAGGCCACATAAAAACAGAGATAACATTTTTTAGTGCATACTATGTGCCAGGCACCACCTTAAGCACATTACTTATGTATGTACATATGTAAACATACATAAAAGTATGCATACATATTTATACATGTATATCCATATATACTCATTTAGGCATATTAAATTATATGTTTATGTCATTTCTATCATTATATATTATTATATATTATATACTCAGTTCTGTATCTATTAAGAGTATATGATGATCTCACGGTTTGTGGGATTGAGCCTTGCGTCAGGGTCTCCCCTGACATTGCAGAGTCTGTTTGGGAATCTTCCTTTCTCTCTCTCTGTCCCTCTCCATCCCACATGTGTGCTCTCTTGAAATAAATAACTTAAAAAAAAAGAGATTATATGTGTAACATATACATATATGTTCACAATAACCCAATAAACAAGGTATTATTACTAGCCCCATTTTACAGACGAGAAACTGAGTCACAAAGAAGATAAGTTCAACCACTTGCATTTTGTACATGGAGAAGGCAATATTAAAACTCAGGAAATTTGACTACTGAATTCTGTTCTTTACTACTACTCTATGGTCACTAAATTGTACACTTGAAAACACTTCAGTTATATAGACACATGCTCCAGCTGTAGACAGCATTTTACCATCAAATTAAGATATTTAAAATGTTTGACCTTCTTGGGGCACCTGGATGGCTCAGTTGGTTAAGTTTCTGACTTTGGCTCCGG